TGCGATTTTTGGAATAATTGATTCATCTAATTTTCCATTGTCGATTTTTAGAATTTCGCTTTCTCATTCCAATTTTTTGATTTTTGAACTTTCAATTTTTCCAATTTTTTATTTTTCGATGTTGCTATATTTCGAATTTTCGAAAAATCGAAAATCAAATTTTTTGAGTTTTAGATTTTTCGATGTTTTTATTTTCAATTTTTAAATTTTTCGAGTTTTCAATTTAAAATTTTCGATTTTCGATTCTTTAGTTTCTAGGGTTTCCAATTTTTTGGTTAAAGATTTTTCTATTTTTACTTTTTTTACCTCCTGATACTTTGATTTTTGGAATTTTCGATATTCGCTTCTTTCCGATTTTCGATCTTTCGATAATCGAAGTTTAAAATTGTTTACTTTTCGATTTTTTTGATATATGAATTTTCAATTTTTGTAATTTTTGATCTTCCGATTTCACGATTTTTCAGTTTTTCGATTTTCCGATTTTTTTCGATTTTTAAATTTTGAATGTTCGATTTTTCGAATTTTGGGTTGTTGAAATTTCGAATTCGCGATTTTGGATTTTTCGATTTCCGGATTTTCAAATTTTGAGTTTTTGATTTTTCGCTTTTCGATTTTTTCGTTGCTAATTTTTCGATAGTCGGTTTGTCATTTTTGACAATTTTCTGATTTTTCGATTTTTGGAGTTCCAATTTTTCAAATTTTTGCTTTTTCGATGTTTCTATATTTCGAATTTCAAAATTGTTAAAAAAACGAAATTTTTCAGTATTTGATTTTTCGATGTCTATTTTCAATTTTTTAATTTTTAGAGTTTTGGAATTTAAAATTTTTTATTTTCGATTTTGCGACTTCTCGGTATCTGATTTTACGACATTTGGATTTTTCTCTTTTGAATTTCGAATTTTCGAGTTTTCAATTTTCAGGTTTTCGACTTTTCGAATACATGATTCAGCAAATTTTCCAATGTTGATTTTTCTTTTTTCGGTTTTTCATTTTTTCAATTTTACTATTTTTCAATTCTTTGACTCTTCGTTGTTCCGATGTTCAATTTTTCAAATTTTCAATATTTTGATTGTCCCATTTTCGTTATTCAATTTTTTATTTTAGATACATCGATTTTCAAGTTTTGTTTTTTCGGTTTTTTGTGTTGGATTTTTGGAATTTTCGATTTTCGAGTTTCCGAATGTTCGATTTTGCGGTTTCGTTTCACAATTCTTAGACTTTCGATTTTTCGGTTATTGGATTTTCGACTTTTCAAAATCGCAGTTTTCGAGTGCTCGATTTTAATTTTTTGATTTTTCGATTTTGATTATTCAATTTTTCGATTTTCGAGTTTTCGACATTCGACTCTGGATTTTTCGATATTCCGATGCTCGATTTTTCAAATTTTGAATTTTTGATTTCTCGGTTTTCGATTTTTTAAATTGCGATTTTGCCAGTATTTGATTCATCGAATTTTTGTTGATTTTTGATTTTCAGTTTCTCAATTTTTTCAATTTTTTGATTTTTGGATTTTTCAAGTTTCAGTTTTTTGAAATTTAGATTTTTCCATGTTCTATTTTCAACTTTTTAATTTTTTGAGTTTTCGAATTTAAAATTTTTCTATTTTCGATTTCTTTAGTTTTCGATTTTGTGACTTCTCGGTATCTTCAATTTCTTTTTTTTTTTGACTTTTCTATCTCTTGAATTTCGAATTTTCCATTATTCGACTTTTCGATTTTTCATTTTCCGGGTTTCGATTTTTCGGATATTTGATTGATGAAATTTTTCAATGTTGATTTTTCGATTTTCAGCTTTTCACTTTTTCAATTTTACGATTTTTTAATTTTCAATATTTCAATTAGGTATACACGATTCTTCCATTTTCGTTTTTCGAATTTTTTATTTAAGATTTATAGATTTTCAATTTTTCGTTTTTTCACAATTCTTCGATTTTCGATTTCTCGAATTTTCGGTTCTTCCATTTTCGACTTTTCGAAATCGGTATTCTCGAGTTTTCGATTTTCAATTTTTTGATTTTTTATTTCTTGATTATTCAGTTTTCCGATTTCTGGATTTTCGAATTTTCGAACATTCGATTTTGGATTTTTCGATATTTCGATGTTTCGATTTTTCGATATCCAATATTTTAAATTTTGAATTTTCGATATTTCGTATTCTTGATTTTTCGAATTTTGGATTTTCAAATTTTCGATTTCCCGATTTTTCGATTTGTGGTTTTTGAAATTTTGAATTTTCGAGTTTTTAAGTTGATTTCAGTCCTTCGATTTTTGGATTTTCGAAATTTCGAACATTCGATTTTGGATTTTCAATATTTCGATTTTTCGATGTTCAATTTTTTTAATTTTGGTTATTCGATATTTCGTATTCTCGATTTTTCGATTTTCAGATTTTCAAATTTTCGATTTTCCGATTTTTCGATTTTCGGTTTTTCTTATTTTGAATTTTCGAGTTTTTAAGTTGATTTTTGATCATTCAGTTCTCCGATTTGTGGATTTTCGAATTTTTGAACATTCGATTTTAGAAGTTCCGATTTTTGTCGAATTTTGAATTTTGGATTTTCGATTTTTCAAAATCTCGATTTTTCGAATTTTCGAACATTTGACTTTGGATATTCCAATATTCCAACGTTTCCATTTTTCGATGTCCGATGTTTCGAATTTAGAATTTTTGATTTTTCGAATTTGCGATTTTTGGATTTTTCGATTTCCGAATTTTCAAATTTTGAATTTTTGATTTTTCATTTTGGGGATTTTTTAAGTTACGATTTTTGGATTATTTGATTCATCGAATTTTCTGAGTTTCAATTTTTCCAATATTGGATTTTACGATGTTTTTATATTGCGAATCTCAAAATTGTCAAAAAACGAAATTTTGCAGTATTCGATTTTTCGATGCCTATTTTCAATTTTTTAATTTTTCGAGTTTTCGAATTTAAAATTTTTCTATTTTCGATTTCTTTAGTTTTCGGTGTCTGATTTTACGAAATTTGGATTTTCTAGGTTTTCCAATTCTTTTGTTTTCGATTTTCATAAAATTTTCCAATATTGATTTTTTTCGGTTTTTCATTTTTTAATTTTACAAGTTTTCAATTTTTTGATTATTTGGCATTTTCGATTTTACGATTTTCGAATTTTCGGTTGTTGGATTTTCGACTTTTTGTAATCGTGATTTTCGATGTTCAATTTTTCGGTTTTCCCATTTTCAGTTTTTTGATTTTTCGATTTTTGATTATTTAATTTTTCGATATTCCGATGTTTGATTTTTCGGATTTTTAAATTTTCGATATTGCGATTTTTAGATTTGCGCTGAATTTTTGATTTCTCGTTTTTGGATTTTTTAAGTTGCGATTTTTCGAATATTTGATTTATCGAATTTTTCACTGTTGATTTTTCGATTTTGAGTTTCTCATTTTTTCAATGTTTTGGTTTTTGGATTTTCAGAGTTACAGTTTCTATAAATTTCGATTTTTCGATGTTTCTATTTCCAATTTTGTAATTTGTCGAGTTTTCGAATTTAATATTTTTGTATTTTCGATTTCTTTAGTTTTCGATTTCGTGACTTCTGGGTATCTGATTTTACGAAATTTGTATTTTCCAATTCTTTAGTTTCTAGGTTTACCAATTCTTTTGTTTTCGAGTTTCGATTATTCGGTATTTCGATTTTCAATTTTCCACTTTTCAACTTTTCGAATATATGATTCATTAAATTTTCCAATGTTGATTTTTTACGGTTTTTCATGTTTTCAATTTTACAATTTTTTGATTCGTCGATTTTCAAGTTTTGTTTTTTCGGTTTTTTAAGTTTTCGATTTTTTGGCATTTTCGATTTTCGATTTTACGTTTTTCGAATTTTCGGTTGTTGGATTTTCGAAATTTTGCACATTCGACTTCGGATTTTTCGATATTCCGATGTTTGATTTTTTGGATTTTTAAATATTCGATATTGTGATTTTTCGATTTGCGTTGAATTTTTGATTTCTCGTTTTTCGATTTTTTAAGTTGCGATTTTTCGAATATTCGATTCATTGAATTTTCCATTGCTGACTTTTCGATTTTCAGTTTCTCATTTTTTCAATTTTTTCAATTTTGGATTTTTCGAGTTTCAATTTTTCTAAATTTCGATTTTTCGATGTTTCTGTTTCCAATTTTTTAATTTTTCGAGTTTTCGAATTTAAAATTTTCTATTTTCTGTTTCTTTAGTTTGCGATTTTGTGATTTCCTGAGCTATTTGAGTTTGCGAAATTTGCATTTTTCAATTTTCCCATTATTCAGTTTCTAGGTTTTTAAATTTTTTTATTTTCGATTTTTATATTTTCAGAATTTTCTACTTTATTTTTTTACATTTTGAAATAAGCATATGTCAAAAACATTCGTTTAAACTACTATAAACGAATTTTTCTGAAATTCAAATATAAAATGTAAAATTTTGGATTTTTTCCAAAGATGTAGAAATTTTAAGGAAAATAATAAGGCGGATTAATAAACCACGGCCATGGAAGCTATTACGTTGTAAAATTTAAATAGGATTTACCTAAAAACAATCTTATTAAGCCATCTAAAAAATATTTTTAAAGACTTTTCAAAATTCCATAACAATTGGTCCACTAGATTGACAAACACAGAGACAGAAACGGTGGACCTATTTGGTCATATTCTAGAAGCTCAGACTGTGAATACAGTGTTATTACTTCCATAATTAAAGTATATAATTAATCTAACACTAGATTATGATTATTCTAGGAGTTATCATAACATCACAACATATGACAGCCTGTGGAATACGAAAATGTGCATTTCCTGTTTCCATCTTTCTAACGTCTGTTGTCCATCTGTTTTGTTAGACAGACGTTTTAACTAGTGGAAATTTTGGGAAGTAAATCTTGCTTAAAATAGTAGGTAATTTTATTTTAACACACAGAATATAGATGGTTTCAGATTTCCCAAAAAAAGTTCTAATTATTTTGTTCTAAGTCGAGACGACATTAATACAATGAATGACAATCAAGCAACAACTTCATCACTCCCTGTCAATCGCTTCATTTTCAAAATTTCTCGTTCTTCATCTAATATTTCCATTTCGTCCAAAAATGGTGTGTAAAATAAATAAAAGAACAGTTCGACGGCCTCATCAATTCAGGTTGTGGTAACACGATAACTCTCGACCAAATTATTAAGTGGTTTACTGAAGTTAAACTCTTGGACTCGAAATTTACACAAGATGAAGTAAAATCGGCTTTTGAAAAAATGAAGTACGTCTCGGTAGTAAAGTAAGTGCAATCAAACGACACTTTTCCAGGGTGATCGATCTCAACCACGACCAATGCATGACATTTTTGGAAGAATTAGCCCAAATGAAAAGCATGCCTCTGAGCGAATTAGAAGACGAACTCGGAAAATGTAAGGTTGCGGATCTCGTTAAAGCGGTGAGTTTGGTGTGAAATTTAATTGCAGTCGACTGTGATTTACTTTTAGGCTGGAACTCCTGGAAAGAGCTGCAAAAGAACTGCCAAGTAGTGCTTCAACTCATATTATTATTAAACCGAATGCTGCCAAATTTCCGTCAAGTTTCTTCGGAAGAATGACAATCTATTTAATCTTAACGAGGTTCGGTGAAGTCGAACGACGTATTCCGCCCAAACTGCTTTCATGCCCAAAAGTAGCGATCCACAAAATAAGCTCCAATTAAATACAAAGAGGAAAAAGCAAAACATGTTGAAGCTCTTTTATTAAAATTTGCTCTAAGCAGTAAGCCTTTAATCCAGATAGTAAGTTGTTTTCGACGAAAATAATTTGTTTTATGCTCCCGACAAAAATACATTCGGCGGTCCTGGAATATTTCGTTTATGGAAGTATTAAAAGTAAGGTAAGATCTGGAAAAATACGGTCTGTTCGTTATTGGATGTTGAAAGCTTTACCGAAAAGCTTATTAAATTCTTCTTTCAAAGAAGTCCTTCCATTTATTCTTTGACGGCGCTGTACTTCTATCTAAAATTAATATTCGTAATCAAAGAAGCAGCATACGAGGCGCGGAACGAGAAAAAAATCATTGAATTATTAGTTTATTCGATCTGGAGCTGATATCTCTCTTCGGCGATGTTGCAGCGATATTTCAGGAGCGTGACGTCCATTATAGCCGAGTCCTGGAAGATACCACTAGAGGCGCGACCTCACGTACACTGTTACCCATAAACCTCATTTCAGGAATATTTTATTGTGGGGAGTTTTAAGCTTACATTTCACTGTATTCGGAAGACAGGACGCGTATGCAGATTTGTGCTAATTCCGGAAAATGGCGCAAATTATGGCGGACTTCTGGGACGGAAATATGGGGCCTGCACGTCGCGCTAAAAATTGATAATTATGGAGGAACGTGTCCGAAGGAAATTACCTCCAACAATACGAAATTAAATCAAGCACACCTGAAGTTGGACTATTATCAAGTCTAATTTTGCTGTAGAATTTTTCAAAATTAATTATTTTTTTATTTATCATTATTACTATGTTTTTGCAATTAAAAAAAAGCTGCAACATGAAAATTTGAAAATTATTATAAACATAATAATTATATTATAAATTATATTATACCCACATAAATTTCTTCAATTTTTTATTAGGTTATGTTGTTGATAAAATTAAAATTGTTATTTTTCATTTTTTTAACAATAGAAAATCAAAAATCATAAATTTTAGGTCGCGTGAAAAGGACACAGAAATTGTAAGTTCAGGTGTTTTGTATTTCACACGTACTTAAAAATTAAGGTTTAATACAGAGTATTCTATTTAAAATAAGAGGTTGCATGTTGCGAAAACAGAACACTTCGTATAGTTGAAAACAATTTTAGATTACGCAGCTCAAAAAATCATAAAATTTTGGTGGTTCACTTTTTTCTGTTTGTCATAATTATTGATATATTTAGAAGTCCTGGTTTATTGACTCACTATGTATATAAAATTTCCAAAAAAATTGTTAAAATTGGTTCAATCCAGCCAACATTTGTTGTCAAATTGTGGATAATCTTCTACCAGTTATAAATGTGATATCGCCATCACGGTATCTGCTCAAATAAACACGAAAAGTGAATTCAAAATTTCAAGAAATTCTCCAAAAAAAAGGTTAAAATAGGTTCAATCGACCGAAAATCGGTCTCAAATTGTAGCTACTCTTCCGTCAGTTATAAATTTGAAAATGCCGTAACGAAATCTGTTCCAATAAACACGAAAATTGGACTCAAAATTTTCAAAACTTTTCCAAAAAAATAGTTAAAATAGGATCACGCGACCGAAAATTGGTGTCAAATTGTAGAAAATCTTCCGTCAGTTATAAATCTGAAAACGCCATTAAGGTATCTGTTTAAATAAACACGAAATGTGAATTCAAAATGTCCAAAAAAAAATTGTTAAAATTGGTTCAATTAAGCGAAAATTGGTGTCAAATTGTGGATAATCCTCCACCAGTTAGAAACTATAACAATTATTATTAAGTAAGGAAGAAATCCAATGATGAAGTCCTACCTATACCAGGTCCGACCTCAGTTGTAATGAATTTTTCATTCGTTGTCACACCGAAGGGCGGAGCATAGTTGAAAAATATATATTTCCCTACAAAAATTTACCATTTTAAACATGTTTTAAGTTTCTTGTTATGAAAAAAAAACTATTTATCTAAAGAAAAAACTTACAAAATATTAGCCCCACCCACCCGCCCCATCTCAATCGTGATTATTTTTTTATTCGTTGTCAGACCGAGGGGCGGAGCATAAGTGCAAAATCAGTATTTACCTACGAAAAATTATCGTTTTAAAATGTTTTAAATTTCTTGTGTAAAAAAAAAAACTCTAATTAAGAAAAAAGAAAAACTAAATGTAAGAGAATATTTTAATAATAAAAATTGGTCTCAAGAGTTTAGACAGTACTTCCTTCGCTGTAGGAAACGTGACGACTGCATGTCGATTATGTTTTTTTTTCGCAGTAGATTTCATTACTTTTTTTTGAGTCACCCGGTATATGCAAATTCAAAAAATATGAATGGAATGAGAAATTACAAGTGCAGACTTATCATATTTTGTATATCCTAGATAGGATTTATTCTGCAAACTTTTGAGCTGATGTCATCAGTTTTTTGTAGAAGATAACCAAATATATTTTGACTAAAAATTTATTATGCTCTTTATTCTTAAAACATTTGCAAGATTTCAAAACATTCGGTTCTGGAGTTCCTGTTCTTTAAATAATTTATGAAAATCTTCAGAAAAATGTCGAAAATTTCAGGATTTTGAAAAATTGAACTTTTGTCAAAATTGCTTAAAAATTCACAAATAAATATTTGAATATTCGCCAAGCTGAATCGAAACAAGGATCCTTTGACAAGATTTTCGAAATGTTCGGTTTTAAAATCAAAATTTTGAGTTTCCCTAAAAATTGCCATATCTCATTTTTGCTAATTTGGCAATTTTTCGGATTTTTGGTTCTGCATTTTTCGATTTCTCGAATTCTCAATTCCTCGAATGTCGAGTTTTCCACTTTTTGATTCTGCGTTTTGCGATTTTTTGTATTTTCGACTGTTCGAATTTTCGATCTGATTTTTTGATTATCTGAATTTTCCATTTTTCATTTTTTGAGTTTTCGGTTCTTCAACTTTTCAGCTTTCGATATTTGGATTTTTCGATTTCTCGTTTTCCCGATTTTCAATTTCTAGATTTTTCGATTTTCGAGCTTTCATTTCGATTTTTCGAATTTTCAATATTTTGATTTTTCACTTTTCCGAGTTATAAATTCCTCGAATTCTCGATATTCCATTTTTGGATCTTCAAAATTTTTGCTTTATTGATTTTTCGAATTCTAAATTTCTCGTTTTCTCAATTTCTCCATTTCTATTTCCCAGTTTCTCAATTTATTAAAATGACATTTTCAACGTATTTTAAAAAATAAAGTAGAGAAATAAACAAGTCTGCAGATTGAAATCAAACACAAAACACATCGAAAAGTTTAAGATTTTGAAAAACTAAACTTTTGTCAAAATTGACTAAAAATTCACAAACAATTATTCTAATCTCGACAGGCTGAATCGAAACGAGGGTCCTATAATAAGATTTTCAAAAATCAAATCTTTCCAAAAAATTGCCGCATCTCATTTTGACATGTTTGGGATAGTGATAGAATTTTCGAAAAAAACCAAGAGCAAAAACACTTCTAAATTAATAAAAGATAATTTTGAAAAATGTTTGAGAAAAGGTCGAAAATTTCAAGATCTTCGAAATTTGAACTTTTGGCGAATTAGCCCAATAATGCCAAAAAATTTTGAAACATAAATCTCGACAAGCTTTATCAAGAAACACAGCTTGTCAGTAGTTCCGGACCAAGATTTTCGAAATATTCAGTTACGAAGTTGAATTTATAAAATATCCTAAAAATCGTCATTTTTCATTTTGGCAATTCTGGACAAATGGTGGCAAATTAAAAAATGAAGTCGAAAAACACTTTGGGAGTTGAAAATTAACAAAAGAGTTCTTTGGAATATTTTCGAAAATGCCATAAAAAGTCAAAAATTTCAAGAACTTGAAAAACTGGGATTTTGGTGAAACTACCTGGAAATCCACAAAAACGTCTAAAATATACATAGATTTCGACAAGCCCAATCGAAAAAAATAGGGAGTTAATGCTCTACGACCAAAATTTTCGAAAACATTTTCAACATGTTTCAAAAATTCTCATGTTTGGAAATTCTGGTAAAACGCTTAGTAATAGTTTAAAAAAATGAAGCCGAGAAATAATTCTGGAGATTGAAATCAACAAAAGAAAATCTTTAGATGAAAGAATTTGAGTCTTCAGAAAATGGTTAAAAATTTCAGGATTTCGAAAAACTGAACTTTTGTCTAAAAGTCACAAACAATTATTCTGATAATCGAAACAAGGGACTTTCAAAATATTCGGTGTAAAAATCAAAATTTTTAAAATTTCCAAAAGATTGCGATATCCCATTTTGGCAAGTCTGGGAAATTTCGAAAAAACGAAGTGTAAAAACATTCTTTAGGTTTAAATTAATAAAAGAAAGTCGTTCGATAATTTTCAAAAATGTTTGGGAAACGGTCGAAAGTTTCAAGATTTTCGAAATTTGAACTATTGGCGAATTTGCCTAAGAATGCAAAAAAGTTCCAAAATATAGATCTCGACAAGGTAAATTAAGAAACCTATCAATGGCTCCGGACTAAGATTTTCGAAATTTTCAATTTGGAAGTCAAATCTATGAGATATCCTAAAAATTGCCATATCTTATTTTGTCAGTTCTGAGAAAATGGTAATAATTTCAAAAAAATTAAGCACACACTTCGACAGAAAATTTCAAGATTTTGAAAAATTTAACTTCGAAATATGGGTTTTAAAATTAAATTCCCATATTTCATTTTCGCAAAAGTGGGAAAATTGTGGAATTTGCGAAAAACGAAGTGCAAAAACAATTCTATAGATCTAAATTAACAAAAGCAAGTGTTTTTGAATGTTTTTCAAAAATTCTTCGGGGAAGGTCGAAAATTTCAAGATTTTGGAAATTTGAGCTTTTGGCGAATGGTTCCGTATTAAGATTTTCGAAATCGGTTTTAAATCGAATTTTTAAAATCCACTAAATATTGCCAAAAAATCTTGCACTGGCAGCATAAAGACACTATGTTTTTAGAATCAGAACGACGAAATCTATATCCCAGAATTTTTTGAGAATTTATTAGCAACTTTTTCCAAAACAAAATTTTTCAAAAAAGTTTGGGTCAATTTTCAACAATTTTCGAAATTTAACTAAATGTATTTTCTTATAAATTTCAACCTTCGGAAGTTAAATTTCGAACTAATTTTTTACCTTATAAAATTTTACCAGGTATGGACAAAACTTACATGATATTTTCAAAGTTCATTTAAAATTTCACAAAAATCTAATAATATCTATCTGAATCGGCACAGACAGATAGACGTAAATGGAAGTTTACATTTTTCAAACCTAACTTGCGCTTAATACGGGTAATTCTACTTATCGTAAGTGCACAGTTTTTAGAATACGAAAATGAAAATTTTCTAACTCTTTAGTCCACTTTTTGAGTTCAAGTTTAACCGAAAAAATAATACAATACCTGAAATAACAGAGTCCAATAAAGCTCTATTTCCAGGCAAACTCGTCTCTTCCAAGAATTCGGTTCTCCGCAGAATCGCCGTCGAAACGTGAAAGAAATAACAAGCCCTCGAAACCTGCGTTTTGTTGCAATTAAAAGATTATTAGCGAGATCATCAAAAGTAATCGCGAGTTCGCGTCCTTCCGAACTTCGCCCTCCTCCGTACAGATTCAATTAAAAGTGCACAACTTTAAGAATCGTTAATAGATTTGATTCGATAGGATGAATTCATAAATTAGACACTAGAAACTTTCTTTTGAGCATATTTTATCAGAGCCGCGCCGAATTTTCGTCAACAAAGTTTCCCTCCATTGTTCGCCCACTCGATATTTCCATGAAACCCTGCTTGTTAGCTCCGGCAG